TGATAAAATGTTTGCGATCCCTCTACAAATTTTTCTTGATTAGCTATTTATACATCTTCCTGAGAAGAAGGTGCCTGTGATAATTACCTGCAAAAGACTTAAAAATGGACTTTTCTGAAGTCTAGTGTGGTGGCCACACCTGTAATCTCAACACTTGACAATGAGGTTGAGGTAGGAGGATCCTGAGTTTGAGGTTAGCTTAGATGACATAGTAAGACCTTATTGTCAAAAAGATTAGTTTTTGGAAAGCAATTTGCATTCACAGCCTTTTTTTTTTTTGTGGACACATGAACTACTCTAAGAGGTGATTCCCAATTTGATCAACTGGGAAGAAGCTGGAGTAAGTTGCCTAAAAGATCTAGATTCCACACACATCCAGAGTGATTTATAGAAAGTAAAAGCATAGTGAAGGAATGCCAGGTCTCAGCCAGCTGAGGCACTAGGGACAGAGAGAGGTAAGATTAAATCAACTGTGTGCTGTGAATGCCCACAGTCAGGGGAAGAAGGGGAAGGCAAGGAAGAGGATATGGTATTCTTAGTCCCCAACACAGCATGTGGTACCCACTGGCAGCCCCTCCCTCCCTGTGTCCCTCCTCTCCTTCTTCCGTCTCTCCATTTTTTCTGTCTTTGACTTTCCATGTGTCCCAGGCTGGTCTGGAGCTTACTGTGTAGCCAAGTCTGGCTCTAGACTCACGATCCTCCTACCTCTGCCTTCTAAGTGCTAGAATTATAGGTGTGCCCTATCACTCCCAGCTCCTTTAAAAATTTTTATTTAATTTATTATTTTTATTTTATGCATATGAGTATATCACATGCATTTATGTAAATGTACCTGTGTTGTGCAGTGTCAGAAAAGGGCTTCTGATGCCCCTGGAACTGGAGTTATAGATGGTTGTTAGCCACCATGTGTGGATGGTAGGAATCAAACCCAGGTCCTCTGCAAGAGCAGCCAGTGCTCTTACTCATCTGAACCATCTCTCCAGCCTGTGCTCCTTTTTTAAAAAAGCAGGATCTTACTGTTGTTTAGCCTGGCTTCAAATTTAAGGTTCTTTTTCCTCAGCCTCCCATATGCTGGGATAAAGGGCATGTTCACCCACATTCTTCGTAGTCCTGTTCTCATGTTAGCAGGGTGGCCTGGAGGAGAAGTGGGGTCAGGCTGTGGGCTCAGTGCCTGCTCTGCTGCCTGCCTATCAGGAGTTCTCCTTTGCCTTTGAGTCTTTTGGGATCTGCAGTTTGGACTAGAAATTATTTAAAGCCTACGTGGGCTGATGTACCCTGTCTGTGCATCAGGAGGGATGGGGCCTGCTCACATAGGCTCACCTAGGGATATCTTGAGGTGCTTGGGGCCTGTAGTGTTGGGGATCAGTACACCTAATGCAGGGTCGGAAGAATCAAGGGAGGAATGTCAGCTTCATAGCTCGACTTTTCCTTGCATCTTCTAGATTCAAGGACAGTGCAGTCCTTGACACTCCAGGGCCAAGGATGAAGAGGTCCTGTGCCAACTTTGCTCATACAGCCCTTCCCTCCTCCTGTGGCTGTCTCTGCTTAAAGATTTCAGCCCACCCTTTTCTGGAATGGACCCACCCTAACCAGGAACATCTTTGTGACTTTGTCTCAGATGTGATTCTAGTGCTGAAGGCTGTTTGTGGGAGGGGCACAACCTGTCACAACTGGTCACACTGTAGCTCTCCTTAGTTCCATCTTTCCCAATAACTGGTATTGGGAAAGCAGTATGGTGATTGGCAATGTGATTTGGGTTCTGTGGGGAAAGTTACTCAGTGCCAGGTAGACAGAATCCATATGCGTGGTTCTAAGAGGCCAAGAAGAGGCTGTGCTCTGTTCCATGGATATATAAGGCACCCTCTTAGGTGATGGCTCTGTCTATACAGTGTCATCCCTCTGGCGACAAAGGTTCCTCTCATGCCCCCGTCCCTCTGTATCTGAGAGCAGCATGCCTGGCCTTTGCTTCTTCCTTAACCAAACAGCCATCTTATCCATGCAAACCCAACACAAGAGGAGGGCCAGTAACTGTCTGTTCTCCAGGGCAGGCGAGCTGATCTTGCCTTAGCCAGGGTCCCAGGTGGTACTGAGAGGCAGGATATGTTGTGCTTGCTTATTTGTTTGCTTGTTTGTTTAGTTAGTTTGTCGCGCGCAACCTTCGCCGAATAAGGACGACGCAACACAGAAGGATTTGTCCAGCAGAAACTTTACTTGAAGCTCATTGATGCAGATGAAGAAGGACCCCAAGCCCCGCGGGTGAGCTGCTTATATAACCCTATAGAGGCGGTGGCTTTCTGTTATTGGACCTCTGTCGATTAGCTCATTGAGAGGCAGGATATGTTGTGCTTGCTTATTTGTTTGCTTGTTTGTTTAGTTAGTTAGTTAGTTTTATGTGTATGAGTGTTATGCCTGCTTGTGTATAAGTGCACCAGTGTCATGCAGTGCCTGAGGTCAGAAGAGGGTGTTGGATTCCCCAGAACTGGAGTTATGGATGGTTCTTAGCTGATATATGGGTCCTGGGATTCAAACCCAGGTCTCCTGAAAGAACAGCCAGTGCTCTTAATGCTGAGCCATCTCTCCAGCCCCATGTTGTACTTTCTTAACACACTTCTTTTTTTTAATTAAAAAAATATTTTATTTATAATTTTTATTTTATGTGTATGAGTGTACTGCCTACATGTATGTGAGTGCACCCATGTCGTGCAGTGCTGTGGAGGTCAGAAGAAGGCTTCTGATTCTCCTGGAACTGGAGTTAAGGACGGTTCGTAGCTGCCATGTGGTGCTGGGAATTGAACCCGGGTTCTCTGCAAGAGCAGTCAGTGCTTTTAACCACTGAGCCATCTCTCCAGCCCCTTTAACACACTTAAAAAAAATATTTTGTTTATTATTTTTATTTTATGAGTATACGTGTATTGCCTGCACGTAGGTGAGTGCACCCATGTCATGCAATGCCTGCGGAAGACAGAAGAGGCTGTTGGATTCCCTGGAACTGGAGTTATAGACAGTTGTTAGCTGCCATGTGGGTGCTGGGATTCGAACCCAGGTCTTCTGCAAGAACAGTCAGTGTTCTTAACTGCTGAGCCGTCTCTCTAGACCCTTTAACACACTTCTTAACTGCAGATTTTTCTTGACTGAGTCTTAGTAGAATTTTGTTTGCATTTTTTTCCTGCTGTGCGTTAGACCTTCTGGGATAAAGACTTGATTTTCCCCTGCAGTGGAGGTTGCAGAGCTTCCTCACTGGCCTGGCTGCTGGAAGGGAGGCTGAGATATTGCTGACTCATGGGCCTGTCCTTCGGGAGAAGGCTTAGCAGGTTCCTCCCTGTGGGGGTTGGCAGCAAGTCTTTAATAAGCTTTAGAGTTAGATACCAGCTTCTGGGGGCCTATAACTCTCTTGGAGCTGTAGACAAAAAGTTGTTTCTTGCTAATTGAGGCTTTTCTTGGCTGCTAGATGCTTTGTCTGCCTTGAAGGCTGACTTCCAGGTGGGTCACTGCATAGGTAACCCTGGCATCCCTCCCCTATGCTGGCGGGTGTGCAGCCTCAGGCCTGCAGAGCCTCCCAGGCCAGGGCAGCAGGCTTAGAAAGCAACTCTTTCTATTCTTTCGTTCTGGCTTAGTCTGATTTCTAACAAGCAGTTCGATTCCAGCCTTTCTCTGTGACATTACTTTCTTCCTCCCCAGTGTTACTTGACTCTTAACTCATTTTTCCTTATCAGAGAATTTATTGTCATCAAACACGATGTATGGTTAGTTATTACCCATCGCTACCACTTAGGAAAAAGTAAGGATGCAAGCTGACGTGTGTTGAGGTTCTTTGGAAACTATTATGTATTCTGGGGAAGTTAGGTAATAGTGTCAGCTTTTTGCCTATTTGTTTTGAGGCAAGGCCTCATGCAGCCCAGGCTGGTTTGGAACTCACTATGTAGCTGCAGTTGACCTTGAACTTCTAATCCTTCTACCTCAACCTCCCCAGTGCTAGGATTACAGGCATGTGCCACCACACTCAGTAGCATTTTGAATATTTTTTTCTTCTCCCAGTTTTTCAAGTGTGAGTGTTGTATGCATGTGTATGTATGCATATTTGCATGTGTGTTGACATGTGGTGTGTGCATGTGTGTGCATGCATGAGGTTGATGTTGGGAATCATCTTTGATCACTTTTCTACCTTATTCACTGAGTCAGAGTCTGTTAGTCAAACCCCAGAGCTAATTGATATGGCTAGTCTTGCTCTGGGATCCCATTTCTGCCTTCTGAGACTGGAATTACAGGTGGGCTGCTATGCTCACTCGGCATTTATGTGTGTTCTGGTGTTCTGAACTCTAGTCCTCATGTTTGTGCATGAGGACTTAACAACTGAGCCATCTCCCTTGCCCAAATTTTTAATCTTTATAGAAAATATAAATATTATAGGCCTAGTGATACAGCACAATGGTAGAATACATGCCTAGCATGTTCAGGGCCTGGATTCCATCTTTGGGATGACTGTGTGTGTGTGTGTGTGTGTGTGTGTGTGTGTGTGTGTGTGTGTGTATGTGTATGTGTGTATATGTGTACAGTGTCTTTGTATGTATGTGTGTACATGTGTGGGCAGTGTCTGTGGGCAGTGTCTGTGGGCAGTGTCTGTGTGCATGCTGTGTGTGTGTGTGTGTGTGTGTGTGTGTGTATGTGTGTGTCTATGTCTATGCAGTGCAAATACTTTTTGTACAGGGCAACTGATGTGGGTCGCCCTGACTGCTGTGGTGAAGGCAAGTGTTCCAGTGTGGCTCAGGTCTGAGGAGTCCAGCCTTTGATTTCCTCCAGGGCTTTCACCTTCCCCTTGCTGCACTGCTGTCACCTGCTGTGTTGAAGGAGTTGCAGTATTAGATTGTTGTAGATAGTAGAGTGTGGCCAGTCCATGCACTTTTGGTGTTCCATTGAGCAGAGATCTTTGGGGCCCTAAGTTGCTTTTGTAACTATGGAAGAGTTTGAAAACTCTGATTTGTTGGCTTTGTTTTCTCTTCTAGTGTAAGAGAAATGATGATGGAGACACGACTGCAGTCATTGTTGAAAAAGACCATTTCATGGATGATTTCTTCCATCAGGTAAGAGTGTGATGAAGCATGGCCTAACAGCTCTGAGCTTACTTACCTCAGTGTAGTAGTGTGCTTGTCAGACTCAAGTCGTATTTAAAACAGCACAGCCATGCAGCCTGGAACTACATTCTGGCTAATGGTGGACTCTGTGTCTGACTGTGGTCCTGTGAGACCATGCCATCTGGTGCCAGCACAGCCATCTATACTCTGTGATGCTTCCAGGGGGAAGTCACCTAGCCCTGTGGTCCACCATGTCCCCATCATTGAGTGACACATGACTGTGCATTTTTGTTTGCTTTGGTTTTGGATTAAAAAAATAATTTCAGGGGGTTAGAGAGCTGGCTCACCAGTTAAGAGTACTGGCTGCTCTTGCAGAAGACCTGGGTTCAGTTCCCAGCACCTACATGGCAACTAACAACCATTTATAACTTCAGTTCCAAGAGACCTAGTACCCTTTTCTGGCCTCATTGGACATTGCATGAACATGGTACACTTACATGCAGGCAAAACACACAAACACATGAAATAAAAATAAGTAAATAAAAGAAATTAGAAATTTACTTATTGTTTAATAAATTTTATTTATTGGCAACCATGTGGGTGCTAGGAACTGAACCCAGGTCCTCTGAAAGAGCAACAAGTGCTCTTAACCACTGAGCCATCTGTCTAGCCCCTGGTTTGGAATTTTAAGATAAGGACTCATTATATAACCCAGGTTGGCCATGAACTTGCCATCCTCCTGCCTCAGCATTCTGAGTACTGGATAGTGTGGTGTTTTTTTTTTTTTGGTCTTTTTGAGACAGGGTCTCCCTGTAGCCCCAGCTGTCCTGGAACTCACTATGTAGACCAGGCTGGCCTTGAACTCACAGAGATCTGCCTGCCTCTGCCTCCCAAGTCCCAAGTGCTGGGACTACAGGCCTGCGCCACCATGCCCGGCTGGATAGTGTTTTTAAAGTTGTTTGGGGGCTGGAGAGACAGCTCAGCAGTTAAGAGCGCTGACTGCTCTTGTAGAGGACCCGGGTTCGAGTCCCAGCATCCACATGGCAGCTATGAACCATCCTTAACTCCAGTTCCAGGGGAATCTGAAGCCCTCTTCTGACCTCCGCGGCATTGCACGACATGGGTGCATTCATCTACATGCAGGCAATACGCTCATACACATAAAATAAAAATAATAAATAAAATATTTTAAAGTTATTTGAATTATGTATTCTTGGGACTTTTAGTACTATCAAAATAGTACTTAATATTGAGACAGATTCAAGTGACTGTTCATGCAGATGGCCTGGGAGGGAGGGCTAGATGTGCATACTAGATGGAGGCAACTGTGGTACGCAGGGCTGGTGCACCTGGAGGCTGGGCAGGCCCTGTACTCTATATGACTAGGAGCTGGGTGGTGACAGGCAGCACTTCTCTCTTGGGAGGCCAGCCACAGTCCAGGTAGCTTTTCAGAAGTTCTCACCCTGAGACCTGGGGCCTCTTAGAACCCCAGGTGCCTTGGTCCTTCAGAAGCAAGAGTTCTGGCCTCCAGCTCAATGTCTAGGGCCCATATGAAGCAGGGTATTCATGCTCTGAGACCCTTGATAGTGATAGCCACCTGGGCATTCCAACTGAGACTCAGAACTGCCTATATTACAGTTGCTTAATTTTACAGTTCCTTCTGTGAAATGACTAGAAAGAGAGAAGCATAGCTTCTTAATGTAAGTCACTGTTAGAAAAAGGCCTTCAGATCTTACACATCAGGCTGAATCCCAGAACACAGGGATTTGCTGCTGATCATAGGGGTTTGGTAAAAGACCAAAACAAGGGTTCTGGGGAGTGGTAGAGAAACTTCTTAAAGAGATGGTTCTAACAGAAGAAGGGACCCTGTGTGAAGTAGCTCACAGCCAAGGACTAGCACCATTGTTGCCTTGCACCCTCCTCCTTTGGGCCCCTCCTCCCAGGGCCCCTGCAGCCAGGCTACCTTTCCTGGTGGAGCCACTCTGGGCTTCAATTGCTGTGAGGTCAGTGGTGGGTACTGGGTTCTCCAGGAGCCGGGTATTCCCCCAGCTCCCTGACATGTGGGTCACTAACATTACTTTGGAAATGGCACTTTCGAATGCAAACTGAAATGTCATCTGCACACTAGCACCAACATGGTGCCTTGATTTCAGCCTTCATAGCAACACAGCCAAGATTTTAAAGAATCTGTTTTCATCATAGTATTTTTCCATAATTAATAAAATAACATATCAAGTATTTGAAGTCTGCTGTTCTGCAGAAGCCATGGGTAAGTGGAAATGGCCCCAGGCTGCCTTGAAATGATGGAGCCAAGGTTCTGTTCTCTAACAGCAGAATTCTCTGCTGAACTTCGCTTTAATACTCTAGTTTTCAGAGTGTCACTGGCCCTTGGACCTGGGCCACTGGGGTCTGTGATAGACTTTCAGGAGGGTCACAATGACAGTAATGTGTGTGCCTCTTCACTTCTGCACTCCAGAAAGGTATGGGGACAGGGTTCAGAACTGAAGCATTAAACATGGGGCATGCTGCCTCTGGTAGACCAGAAATCAGATCCACAGCTGTGCTCATCCTGCCTCCTGTTTTCACTGATTCAGAACATAAGAACATACCTGTTAATCTTCTTTTCTATTCCTGCTGTCACAAGTGACCGTGAGCCCTGGGTTTTTTTTATTTGTTTGTTTGCTTGTTTATTTATTTATTTAATGTGTTAAGAGTGTTTTGCCTGAAAATATGTAAGTGCACCATGTAAGTGCAGTGCCATGGAGACCAGAAGAGGCTGTGGGATCCCCTGGAACTGGAGTTGTAGATGGTGGGGGTGGGGGTTGTTAGCCACCATGTGGGTGTTGGGAACTGAGCCAGGTTCCTTTGGAAGAGTATTAAGTGCCCTTAACTGCTGAGCCATCTCTCCAGCTCCCAAACTTCAGGGCTTTAAGCAGCAGATATTATCTTCCAGCTCTGGAGCTAGATCAAGCTTGGCAGGCTGCTTCCCTTCAGAGGCTATAGAAGAGAAGGGATCCACAGTTCTGCTCTGGATGCTGCCTGTTCTTGGCTTGCAGTCCCTTCCCCCCCTCCTGAAAGCAGAGTATCATGTCTCTCCTTTCTGACTGTCTTGGGTGTCAATTGCTGTGATAAAAATACTGACCAAAATCAACATGGGGAGGAAAGGGTTTATTTTATCTTACATCTCCATCACAGTTCATCACTGAGGGAATCCAAAGCAGGAATTCAGGGCAGAACCTGGAGGCAGAAGCTGAAGCATAGACTATGGGGGACCACTCCTTACTGACTTGCTCCCTTGGCCTGTGCTCAACTTGCTTGCTTATACAACACAAGACTGCCTGCCCAGGGGTAGCACTGCCCACAGTGGACTGGGCGCTCCCATATCACCCAACAATCAAGAAAATTCTCCTCAGATATGGCCACCAACTAGTCCAATGGAGGCAACTCCTCAGTTGAGAGTCCCTCTACCTAGGTGTATCAAGTTGACTACTACAGCTATCCAGCACACTAACTTTGGTCCTCTAGTCTCTGTTGCCTAAGAACCAACCAGGTCACCCAGGATAACTTCCCATCTCAAGGCTTACACCTATAAAGTCTTTTTGCTGTGGAAGGTGATATATCAGGTTGTGGACATAAATCACATCATATGATGATTGCAACTATTTTAAAGGGAAGGAAGGAGAGTTGTTGACAGTATGCCCCTGCCTCAGCCATCACATGGCTCCCTTGGTAGCCAGGTTTCCATTGGCTTCTCTCTTCTAAGGACACCAGTTATATGGAGAACCAACCTGGATAACCCTAGCAGCCTCATCTCAGATTCCTAGTTGAGCCCCAATAGAAATTCTTTTGGCACATAATGTCACATTCACAGGGTCCAAGGCATTTTCAGGGGCCATTGTTAAAGCAACACAGAGACTTGAAGATGTAAGTCCATCTGCTCTCTGCAAGAGCAAAGATTGAATTACATTTAAACGTGGGTGTTCAGGAAGATGAACATGAAGGGTTGCCTGTGGAATAGCAAGTAAGAGGATGTTACCGTCAGCCTTCTATGTGTGTGTGTTTGTGTGTGTGTGTGTGTATGTGTGCATGCGCATGTGTATGTGTGTGTGTGTGTGTGAGGGGTGGGGGCAGAGAGGCTTCCTGGTAGTGTGGTGTGCTATATAGCAAGTCATCTGCTTCTAGCTGGCACTGTCTTTGGTGATACACAGGAGCTCTATTGCAGGGATTTTTATAGCTGAATAGGTTTTGTTGGTGAATGTTACCTTAATCCTAACAGTAGAAATACTTCTGTTTTCTTTTCAATTTGTTTTTATTTCATGTGTGTGAGTGTTTTGCCTGCATACATGGAAGTGTACCACGTGTGTGCAGTGCCATTAAAGACCAGAAGAGGGTGTCAGATCCCCTGGAACTGGAGTTATGGATGGTTGTTAGTGGCCATGTGGATGCTGGGAGCTGAACCCAGGTTCTCTGCAAGAGCAAGTGCTCTTAACTTCTGAGCCATCTCTCTAGCCTGATTGAATTTCATTTTATGTGTATGAGTGTTTTGTGTGTATGTGTACCATGCCTGCATACATGGAAGTGCACCATGTGCAATGTCAGCAGAGGCGAGAAGAGGGCATCAGATCCTCTGGAACTAGAGTTATGGATGATTGTTAGCTGCCATGAGGGTGCTGGGTACCAAACTTGGGTTCTCTGTAAGAGTAGCAAGTGCTTTTAACCGTTGAGCCATCTCTCCAGCCCCTATTTCTCTGTTTTTGAAACAATATCACTGTGAAAACAGGAGGGATTTCGTTGCTTATGCAGTGATTCCCATGTTTCCCTCTCCAGCCTCCCTTTGTAGGTGATGGACAGCTGTAGCAATCTGGGCCTTGCCACACTGTGATGGCTCTCTCTCTCTCCTAGGTGGAGGAGATCAGAAGCAGTATAGCCAAAATTTCTCAGTATGTGGAAGATGTGAAGAAGAATCACAGCATCATCCTCTCTGCCCCCAACCCAGAAGGAAGTAAGTCAGTCATCTGTCTGTCTTCACCTACAGCAAGGTTCTCCTTCATATTCCCTTAGATGGAACAGGGAGCCATGCAGATGACCACACCTAGGTCCCCCTCAGCATTCCACAGTTGTCTGCATGTTCTTTTAAGCTCCCTGAATGGTCCTGGTGTTTAGCTGGAGTGAGGATCACTGCCAGGCAGGATCTGAAAGGTATGTGAGAGTGCTCTGCAGGACACTGGCCACACAGCAACTGGACCAGAGGTCTGCACTGAGCCCATAGTTAAAGGATGGTGGAGTTTATGTTTGGATGACATTAATAATAGACTGATTTGGAAAGCAACATGTGCTTGTTAGAGCTACGTTAGCCATGCAGATGAAGAGGAAGTCCTGAGTCTCAAGGGCAAGCTCTGTGGAGCATGCCATGGGCAGCATCCACTGCAGACAGCACTTGAGCGGGTGTGCTCATGGAGCAAGGGATGATGGGTAGTGAAAGCTTTAGAGGTGACATGGGGTTCTGAACAAACAGGATTTACACATTGCACTCTGCACTTCATTTGTGAGAGAACCAATATCCTTTTATCCATTTTTCCTTTTTAGTTTTAAAATGAGCATTCAGGCTGTGGGTTCATCACGGCACCTTCGTATAGTCTCTGCTCTTGTTGATCCCCCTCCTATCTTCCCCTCCTGCTGGTCCTTTCTTCCCTCCAGTTACCCCTCTGCTTCTGTGTCACACATTCCATTACCCTCTTTTTTGTTCTCTCCCTTCAGACTTCTTTTCTCTCTCATGGTCCCCTTTCTAAATTTGTGACCTACACCCCCAGGTATGTACATATATAAAAATTAAAATCTCAGATCTGCATTTGAAAGAGAAAGCATGTGGTATTTGCCTCTTCAAGCCTGGCTTGTTTCATATAGCATAATAATTTCCAGTTCTAGCCATGTCCCTGTAAATGTCATGATCTGACTTCTCTTCAGGATGGCATACAATTGCATTGTGTATAGTACCACATTTTTTTGTTCATTCATCTATTGATGGATCTGCAGGCTATTGTGAATGTTGTAGCAAAGTGAGTGTTGTAACAAAAAACAAGGATGTGCAAGTGTCTCCAGGGGAGGATTGGGCCCCAAGCAGAGGCAGTAGCTGGGGCATATGGCAGTTCTAGTTTCTGTTTTTCAGGAACCTCCATACTGATTTCCATAGTGGCTGCAACTATTTACATGCCCCTGGGGAGTATGAAGGTTCCTCTTTGCCCACATCCTCACCAGCATTTGTTGTTGCTGTTTTCTTGATGATGATGTGTTGACTAGGGTGAGATGGACTCAACAAGCAGTTTTAATTTGCATTTCCCGGGTGCTAAGGATGTTGAGTCTTCTAGTCCTCATAGGTCTATCCCTCTACTAGTGTTCTTTCTGTTTGTTTGTTTTTTTTTTTTTTTTTTTTTGTTTTTTTGAGACTTTTTTTTTTTTTTTTTTTTTTTTTTTAAGGAGCTGGGTGTGGTAGCCTGCCTGGTCTACCTAGAGAGAATTCCAGGCCACCTGAGGCTACAGTAGACCCTGTCTCAAAAAACACCAAAAATATATATTTTTGTTTTTTTTTTTAATTTTTAAAAACCTACTTTCTCTCCCCTCTTTTTGTTTTTTTTTTGTTTTTTTTTTTTTTTTTTTTTTTTTTTGGTCTTTTTGAGACAGGGTCTCTCTGTAGCCCCAGCTGTTCTGGAACTCACTATGTAGACCAGGCTGGCCTTGAACTCAAAGAGATCCACCTGCCTCTGCCTCCCGAGTGCTGGGATTAAAGGCGTGTGCCACCATGCCCGGCCTGCTTGTTTGTTTTTAAAGACGGTCTCCCTGTAGTCCTAGCTGGCCTGGAACTTGCTATGTAGACCAGACTGGCCTGGACCTCACAGAGATCTGCCTGCCTCTGTTGCCTGAGTGCTGGGATTACAGGAGTATGCCACCATGCCTGGTTCATTCACTTGATCTTAATCTCAGTCTGTTTTGTTGGGATCAGGTTAGGGTTTACATGAATCTTGTGCTGTATTTGTTATTTATTCCTAGGTAACCCATGTTTTGAGGTTAATGTAAATAGAATCTGCTTTAAGTTGCAAATGAGGTGGGTGTGGTGGCACATTCTTATCATCCCAGCTACTCTGGAGACTGAGGCAGGAACATCGCAGGTTCAAGGCCTTCCTGTGCTATAGAGTAGGCTCAAGGCTTGCCTGGACAATTTAGGAAGACCCTGTGTCAAAATAAAAGTAAAACAAAGGGTGGGGATTTAGCTCAGTGGTACATTGCTCGCCTAGTGTGTGAAAAACCCTGGATACTGCCAAAATAAATAAATAAATAAGAAATAAAATGGAACATATGCTGTTGTCTAATTAGTTATTCTAACAGTTTCTTTGCATTCTTTGGTATTGGTTTCCACCCCGACAGGGGACAAGGAGGGTCCTAGGACTGTGGTACATGTAGGGGATGGTGGACTAGTCTTGAAGGATGATTTTCTAGAGTAGTCCAGATAGTTCTTTCTTAAGTTCCTAAAGGATGGCCTACCTTAGGTTGCGCAGTGGCTGTGTACTGTGTACTGTGCTGTTTATCTGTGAGGGGCTTCGGGTGTCACCTGTGCTGATGCATGTCTCTCTGAAGGTATTTGGGCCAGTTACCCTATCATCGATGCACCAAGTACTGTGTCTCACCCCTGGCTCCTGTCTTCTGTGGGTTTCTTTGCCTCAGTCTCCTGAGTAGTCTCCTGAGTGCTGAGTTTACAGGCCTGCAGCACCATGCCTGGTTCCTTGGTCCTGTGTTTTGGAGGCTGGTAACTCCCAGTCTTTGAGTGAAGGAGATCTCTGGGGAAAGATGGTCACAGAGGAGAACCCCTTCACAACATGATCCCTCTGCTCCAGCCTCTGCTTCCTTATGGTTTCTTCCAGTATCAGAATGATCTTTCTAAATCCCAGCTTTGCTGATGTCTTTGTTAACAAACAGACAGAAAATGCTGGAAAATGAGACATGGTCTACAGGGCCTCCTCACATCTCTGGTCACTTCACATTCTGTCATGAGGGTCTTCTCCCCCCACCCCCAACCCCCCATGTGAGGGCCTCCTTTCCCATGTGAGGATCTCCTCTTCCTTGTGAGGGTCTCCTCTCCCATGTGAGTCTCCTCTGCCCATGTTATCTTCCCATTTAAAGTCTGCACATTGACTCCTTCCTGAGGGAATCCCATAGTGAGCCTCTGGTTCTGGAACCCTGGGGTTTTGTAAGTCGTCCCCCCTTTGTCCTTCAGGCTCTGCTATGCTTTAGTTCCTTGGGTGACTTCCTGACTTCACATCAGGCTGAAATAAAGACCCTGGGTCTTCCTTGGATGGTGCAGGGGTTCAGACAGTGCTGTGGAACTTTGTCAGGTAGCTGTTCTGGTTGACTCTGAGAACAGCTGGGCACCAGAACTGGCTCTAAAGGTTCAGAGCCTCATCTGCCTGAGAGTGGTATGCATGGCATGTCAGATGGAGCAGCAAGGGCTGGGAAGACAGTGAGAGCAGAAGGGGCCACTGAGCCCAGGCCCAGCTTCTTCCAGAATGTGGTTGTATGCTTGCCATGTCCAGGTGGAGGTTGGCCATGGACTCAGTGTGCTGTTCAATTCATTGACTGGGGTGAACCTGCAGTTCTGAGACTCAGGTGTGTCCCAGAGAGCTCTCCACTGGGCAGTGTCTGAAGGCACAGCCCAGGGTCGGCTGGGAGCTAGGTGGGGACAAGGCCTCCCTGGACTGGATGTGGCAGTGGTGACCCAAGGCCCACGCTTGGAAAGTCACTGGACATTTATAAGGATGCTTTTTGGTTTAAATGTTCTGGATGCTACTTAAGTTGAATGCTGCAGCTGAGATGCTTCATTTTAACTTTTTAAAGAAATAAAAGAAGAGCTGGAAGACTTGAACAAAGAAATCAAGAAAACCGCTAACAAAATCCGAGCCAAGTTAAAGTGTAAGTGTGTTTTCTTCAGTTACTGGTGGTGGGAATGTGGCCATTGTTGTTTTTTTTTTTTTTTTTTTTTTTTTTTTTTTTTTTTTTTTTAAAAAAAAAAAAAAAAAAAAAAAAAAAGAGGACGACTGTACAGCTTTACAATAGTTATGCTTATGCTTTCAAAAATGAAAATTATAACCACTTCTAAATAAGTTGGGTGCTTGTGTCTGGGCCACTGCTTCATACCCTGTGCATTACTACAGTGGCATTTGGCATTTTGGGTGGTACTGCAGGTATTTGCAAGGAATCACCAGATTCTCCAATGGTTCTCTTAGCTGGAACCTTCTTTCCAACTGCTAGGAGCCCATGCTCTGCACTCACCTGGCTTGGGTGACCCTTAGGGTTTTTTGCACAGGCCTTAAATAGAAGTTGCCTTCCCTGATCTGGGAAAAAGACACATTGTATTTAACTCACAGAACCACTTTCAGAGGAAGACATCTCATCTCTGCAGTTACACCATCCTCTCAGGGGTAATGACTCCACGCAGTGATGGGATCATGGTGATAGAGATGCTGCTGCATGTTTGTGCATGTCTGTCTGTGTGTTTGTGTGTGTGTGTGCCCATGTCTGTCTGCCTATGTGTCTATCTGTGTGCAGACATCTCTATTAGGGGATCTGAGGGAGTCATAGAATTCTTTTTGGTGGATGGTACTCAGAGGATTGTTTTCAGTGGTTATCCACGCTTTAGTTTTATGGGGGAAATGCTTCAGAGACAAGAAAGTACAGGAGTCTGAGACTCAAAGCTATTTCTAGCTGCTCATGACTCTGTCCTGCTTCCTTCCAGCCATTGAGCAGAGTTTTGATCAGGATGAGAGTGGGAGCCGAACCTCAGTGGATCTGCGAATACGAAGGACCCAGGTGTGCCGCCTGCCTTGTACAGATTGAAGTCATGTGGAAGAAGAGCCTTTTCCAAAACAGTTTCTTTTTCTTTTCTTTCCTTTTTCTGTTTAAGACAGAGTCTTACCATGTAGCCCTGGCTGGCCTAGCACTTGCTGTATAGACCAGGCTCGCTTCAAACTCACAGAGACCTTCCTGCCTCTGCTTTCCAAGAGCAGGAAGTGCCACCATGCTAGGCTCAATTTCTTTTCTTTTCTTTTCTTTTCTTTTCTTTTCTTTTCTTTTCTTTTCTTTTCTTTCCTTTTTCTTTTCTTTTCTCTTCTCTTCTCTTTTTCCTTTTTTTCCTTTCTTTTCTTTTTATTGTGGTGGAAGGAAGTGGATCCCAGGCCCTGCACATGTTAGGCAAATGCTCTATCACTGAGCTACATCCAAAGCCCCCGCTAATTCTTATCTACAGTCATGTCTGTCCTTACCACTTCTCTGCATGAACCAGACTAGCATTGTGGGCTGTAGCTCTTTGATGTGAAGAGAACACCCCAGCCATCCACATGGTTCTGTGCTTCAGAGCAGAGAACTAACCAGATCACCTTGGTGCTAGTGGTTTGATTTTCTCTTCCCAGGGTTTATGGTATGGCCAAGAGAAACTTGGGAAGCTCATCCCTGCATGGCTGAAGGGACTAAGCATGTGGGCTCAGGGCAGCCCGTATGGGTCCAAGGCAATTCCAGCCTCTGTATAATATCCACTACCAGAGGCCAACTGACTTCCCCAGGTTTGGCTGTTTAGTTTAGATGGGTTTAGTTGACTTAAGGAAGGTTATACACAGAGATTTTCCCTGTAGCTTCTGTTACAGAGAATGCTGCTTTTACTCTCAGTTTCTCTGAAGGAGTTAGTAACATACCAGTCTAAGCTTCTCAATTATAATGTTTTTTTTAAAAAAATTCATTTTTATTTTATGTATGTGTATATATGTGCACCACATGTGTGTAGTGCCCGTGGAGACCAGAAGAGGGCATCGAGTCCCCTGGAACTGGGTTTATAGGCAGTTGTGAGCCACCATGTGAGTGCTGGGCATGAACCCAAGTCCTCTGCAAGAACAGCCAGTGCTCTTAACTGCTGAGCCATTCCCCCATTTTATATTTTTTTTTTTTTTTTTTTTTTTTTTCTGCCCTTTTCAATGGAGGAAATGCCTATTGTGTAGTAACACAATGTTTTCTTTGTTACTAGCACTCAGTACTGTCTCGGAAGTTTGTGGAAGTCATGACAGAGTACAATGAAGCGCAGATTCTTTTTCGGGAGAGAAGCAAAGGACGCATCCAGCGCCAGCTAGAGATCAGTGAGTAGAGGAGACACCCTTCCTCCTCACCTCAGTGGACTGCAGCTTAGAACAAGTGATTTCATCTCTATTTCAACCATATCACCAAGGGAAAAGACCTTTTCTAAGTGTCTCTTCCTTGAGTCAGTAAACCTATTATTTATTCATATCCTTCAAAAAATTTGAAATAAGCCAGGTGTGGTGGCACATGCCTTTAATCCCAGCACTCAGGAGGCAGAGGCAGACGGATCTCTGTGCGTTCAAGGCCAGCCTGGTCTACATAGTGAGTTCCAGGACAGCTGGGGCTACAGGGAGACCCTGTCTCAAAAA